GTGTATCTCTCTCTCCTCGTGTTCTATCTCTATTGTAGTTCTCCATGTAGAGTAATGAAGACTGATAGCTTGCCTGGTATGTGCCTAAGACGTATATATAGGTATGTGTCTTGTATATAAATCATTGTTAAACGGCAAAGTCTCTATGTGCTGTGTTGTGCTCCAGGATTGTCTCACAACAGAAGTCACACTGCAAACACTCTGTCAGTTTCCCATGAGGCTCCTTTGGAAAATTAATTTTCCATCTGGTATAGACGGTTATTTGCCATCTGTTTTTTATTTCTACTTCAAAGATCAAGGATGATGGGCACAGCCTGGGTGTACTGTCGCTCCCACTGTCACAACTGCTCGCTGCAGAAGAGCTCGTCCTCGACCACTGGTTCCAACTCAGCAACTCTGGTCCTTCTAGCCAGATTTTGATGCGAGTGCAGCTTGGGGTAAGTAGCTGTGATGGTGTGCAGGAATGGCCTTGAGAGTCAGGAGGAAGACTTATGGCAACGGTTTGGTAAGAGGCAGCTCAGTCTGCGTATGGGAGGAAAGTGTGAGAAACATTTAGAAAGGACCTTCCTTAGTTTTCTAGAGACTAAAAAGAGAGGAGGGTGTAAATGCTTTAAATCTTGCAAGTTCCTGTTAAATGTTAACCGTACATTTAACCATGGTAGTGCAGTGGTTAGAATGCATTGTTGCAGGCTAACTCACCGCCAGGAGTTTGATTCTGAACAGGCTCAAGGTTGACTCAGCCTTCCATCCTTCCAAGGTTGGTAAAATGAGGACCCAGATTGTTGAGGGCAATATGTACGCTGAATTCTGTAAACCGCTTAGAGAGGCCTGTAGAGCGCTATGAAGCAGGATATAAGTCTATGTGCTCTTGCTAAGTACTACAATAACGATAATGCTGAGGCCCCCAATTGTCCTTCTTGCTTGGACTGCCTCAAAGGGGTTGGGGAATGGGGTTGCATGAAGAAGCCAGTCAGAGCAGGCTCTAAGCCCCTTGCTCTCAATTCCCCAGCTTCTGATTTCTCAGCACTCGGGGGTGGAGGCTTTCCATGCTGCAGCAGGGGACGAATATGAGGAGAATTCCCAGAAGGGATCCGAGACTGAGCTGTATATCAGAGAGGATGGAGACTCTGGCTCTTTGCAAGAGCTGCGCCAGCGGATCCCCCACACCAACAGGTAAGGAGGACTCCTTGTATAGAATACAGACTCCATGCAGGTGGGTGAGGAGATTCCTCTTTGGGCTGAGGGTTCCATGGTTTTTTCTTGCACAAAGCCAAGTATTCTGGATCTGAAGAAATTCTCTTCTTCTCTCAAGATAATTTCTGGAGAGATTGCTGTACTAGTTTACTGCCACTCTAAATAAATGAAGCATACACTACTCTAGGTTACCATCCAGTTCATGAAATGCTAGAAATGTCAGGAAACCAGCAAAATATGTGTGTGTGTGTATATATGCACAAAACACACACACACACGTATTCCCTGGCTTGTTACTGTAAGAAATTGATAGCTCCTAAGCCAGATGTTGCACAAAGTCCCTTCTTGCACACCCAAACAAATACACACTATCCCTGGCTTCTCCCCACAATTACCGCCTGGTAGCGCAGTGGTTAGAAGGCAGTATTGCAGGATAATTCTGCCGAGTGCCAGCATTTCGATTCTCACCAGGCTCAAGGTTGACTCAGCCTTCCGTCCTTCCAAGGTCGGTGAAATGAAGATTCAGATTGTTGGGGCAAAATGCTGAGACTCTGTAAACTGCTTAGAGGGAGCTGCAAAGCATTATGAAGCTGTATATAAGTCTATGTGCTATTGCTATTTCTACTTTAAGAAATCTACACTCCCTAAGCAAGAGGTTGGTTTGTATGCATCTTTGGGCATCTGTAGATGTACCTCTTACCCCTTTCTCTGAACCTCTGAATCAGCCTTCGGGAGCAAAAAGGCTGCCCCGCTGTCAAATCAATGCTGAGTGTGATAGCCTGAAAATGTAATTCCTCCCTTGAAATTCTGTTTTTCCCCCTTTTCACCTGATTTTTCAGTCCTAAGTGTCTTTTCATGCCTCTGACTGCTGTGTCCTCAGAGAAGACTTCTGTGATGTTGCACCAATCTCCCCTGAGGAAACTTTTTAGTGGGGAGGGGAAATTGAAAGCTGACCTCCGTGAAGTCCAGTCAGGGTCAACAACCTAAGACACAGAAGGCAGTGCACTGTAGGCTTTTGAATAACCTCTTGTTAATGCAGATCGGTTGAGTGGAGCTTTTTACCAGAAAGGGAGAGACAACGCTTGCTGTTTATGTACGTAATAATTTGATGCTTTAAAAGGTGAGCTCTCTTCTGCTGTTTTGTCTTGCAGCACATTGCTCAGCTGGGCTTTGGGAATTCCAGCAAATTTACTCCTCCCCCTGCAGTCAGAGTTGCAGAAAACATTCCGGCTTTCGCTTTCAGCCCTCCTCATAGCTGCCTTACATAGGCCGCCACTGCGACCTGCCACCATTCTCATCGCCGATGCAGTTTGCTGCCTCAGTTCCACATTTCTCTTGCCACGTGGAGAACAAACTCTCCTGCCTTTGTGCCCCACCTCCCATCCTATTGGTTCCGATCTTTCAAATGGCATCTTCCCATCCATTTCTCGGCGTTCCTTATGGTTGCCTTATTTTTCTGCATGTGCTACTAAGGGGTGTAGAAATACTCCCCCTTTTCTTCAAACCAGACCCAAGGCGTTTTTGAGTTTCTGTAATATTGCTCTGCCCTTGTGTCTTTCTGCCCTGCAGTAATTTGGAGCTAGTAGACACGCCTCTGGGACAGCTGCACATGACTGTCTGGTACAACATGGATGCAAGGAAACTTATCGTGATCATACATGCCTGCAGGTAATAACCGTAGGATAGATTTGTTTGGGGAAGGGAGAAATGAAAACTGTATTTGGTATGAACCTCCAGAATGATTGCTTAGATTTTTTTTCTCCCTGTAGCTACAGAACATGGAGATCATTCTAAGCCAAGGGTGTCAAACTCAAGGGAGCTTAAATGTGGCCTGTGGGGCCAGCCTGGAAATAGCAAAGGACTGGCCCACAGTGCTTCTGGCAGCCAAAACCGGGGGGCGGGGGGACGACGCCTGCCCCCCTGCAGCACTCTGCCGGCCAAAATGGGGCGTGGGGGCCATGTGAAGCCCCCACGCCCCATTTGGGCTGGCAGGTTGTTGCGGAAGGCTGTCCAGACTAAAAACAGGGTGTGGGGGGACCTTGCACAGCCCCTCCATGCCCCATTTTGGCCGGCAGGGTGCTGCAGGAGGCTGTCTAGGCTGAAAATGGGGAACAGGGGGAAATGGAAACAGGAGTGTGGGGAAATGGAAGGATGGGTTTCTTTGCAGTCATCTGGTCCTTAGCACTCTCCCTGAGAGCTCTTGAAGCCACTGAGAGGTTCATCTTTGTCCTCAGGCTCTCCTGAATCAGGAGAGTACAATGGGTTGTGGGATTTTCTTGGAACTTCCGCCCTGCAAGGGCTGTCTTGTGTTGTAGGCTGAGGATAAGTGATGTCTTATCCCTCCCTCTCTGTTGAGAGAGGGCTGCTCAATGTTAGCATGAATGACCTCTTTTACTCCTCTTTCAAACCAATGATCCTCTCTATCCCCAATGTGGACTTTGCCATCTTCAAAAGAGTACCAGTGGATGTCTAGTACTTTCCACCAACAGATTCTATAAGAACATTATAAAATAATAACTAAGTCCTACTGAATGCAGATCGTTACATCTGGGGTGATTCTGAGGACAATACAGACAGGCCTAGCTGGCTTTACAGTGCTCTGTGGAAGAACGCTTGTGTATGAATATTGTGGTGGGCCGCCATCCTCTCAGAAGAGGTGGCTTATGTCTTGTTTTTTAAACAAATGATGAAAAAATAGGACAAATTGATGGATGAGGAGCAAAGGGGCTTGTTTTATTAAATAAATTGGTTTCCTCTTGTTTGAGTAATTGGTTCTCTCTACCAAACTTACGTTAAAATGATTCCAAGCTACAGTAGTAGCCAAAATTGTGGAAACTTTTTAGGAAAAGTATATTTTTAAGGTTTGATGGCTAATAACACCATTCTTTTTTTTTTTTGGAGTAGTGCCATAAAATTATATAAAAATTTTATAAAATTATACACTTTTCCCAAAAGGTTTCCACAATTTTAGCCACTACTGTATTTACCTTCTAAGCCAGAAGTCTCCAACCTTTCCAGCTCAGTGGACTGGAGGAAACAGGAGAGGCGGGGTGGAGGGGGAAATGGTTTTGTGCCCATGCCTCTTTCACAAATGCAGCTTCACACATGCTCACCCACCACTTCCGTGGCCCAGTTTCTGAATGGGTTGCAGCCCAGCACCGGGCCGTGGGCCAGAGGTTGGAGCCCCCTGTTCTAAACCATTTAGATAGATTCTTTCCTTTTTAAAGAGCCCTCTCCTTTGACCCTATTCCAGAAACCTCAAGTCAAACGGCAGGGATGCTCCTGATTCCTACGTCTCTTTGATCCTGCTGCCGGACAAATCTCGTGTCACCAAGAAAAAGACTACTGTACGGAAGAAAACTGTGAATCCCGAGTTCAATGAGAAGTAAGGGAGAAATCAGCAATATGGGAGTAGAGGCATGTTTGTAAAGGTTATCTTTGATACCGGAAGGATATAGTAGGGATCTGGGAACCTCACTGACATAAACCGATCCCTCTGATCCATTTGCCCATTTTTAATTAGGACAACATTTGCCATTCCTCGTACTTTTAAACGTGTTCATACGCTGATGGAGTGTACGTATGTAAACCATGATTGCAACATGAATTTACATTGGATTAATTTGTGCAAAATAAATGTTACTCAGGGTTTCTGCTCTTCAAGTTACTGATAGAAATTAGATGCCATCAGAATACAGGGAAATGCACTCTGATGCAACATTTCTGGTGGTTGAAAGGTAACTATTAAAGGTAAATTTTGTTAAATGACCCTGGCACTTATCCTTTTATTTCATTCATTATACCTTTAAGCCATCCAACAGGTACCTAGGATCATTAAGGATTTTTTTTTAATTGGTTTTTAAGATGAACATAGACAAACAAAACATAAAAACATCAAGCCATCTTCCATATATATACATACAGTGTGCCGGTTGGTTTACAAATTGTTTTGAGCTTCTATTTTGTAGTCTTCAATTACAATTACATTGTATATATTCTCATATTTTCAATCAAGTATTAAATACATTAATATCATTGTTAATCATTTGACTATAGTTTTATTAATTCATGTTTTACAAATAATCATATTTTACTTAAATTGTTTTGTGACAGTTCATATTATCATCTCAAATCTATCCTACAATCATTTTGTAGACGTAATAAGAAAAGAATATATATATATATATATATATTTGTTTTCTGAGGTTCTCGCGGGTATTTATATGTAGATCTTTGGTTGTTCGGGTTTTCTCCCGCGTAAGATTTGAAGTATCTAGGCAACGTTTCGATGAAGTCTCATTCATCATCTTCAGGCTTCTGTCTCCAGCTCTGTGCTTCTCAGAGTAATGGAGATTGCAGCTGCTTCCTCCTTT